CTCATTTTGGTCCCACTCGACCGCCTGGAGCATGATGTCTTCAAACGTTATTCCCAGTGCATGTTCAGTCCAATTCGTCTCCACTTTCTTCCGCATATTCGTTGGGCGATTGGCTCTTGGTTGGTTTGTTGCCAGGGTCTCTTGTTACTTATTCTTTCTGGCCAACTGATCTTCAGTGTCAGTATCGAGCTAGTGTAGGTGGCAGCCGTTGATGCATGTCTGCAGTTTGTTGGAAGTGCCTTTCGCAAGGCTTCAAGTCTCTCAACCGTCACATAGAGACACTGACTTGACTGAATTAGTGTTGAAAATCCAGGTCTTGTTCTTTACGCTGAGTGCAGTGCAGTATATCTTTGCACTGAGTTCTGACTAATGAGGGCGCGTCTTGCATTTAGGGTTCCTATGATATCCTCAGCTGTACCGCCGCCTGTAGTTGAAGCGGTGCTGCCTTGACTAGGTAGGTGAGGGAGAAAACTTCTTTTAGGTTTCCCACTTTGTGGGAGATTGGTGCTTGCTGTTGTTGGCTGAGTAACTTCATTATCTCTGTCCTCTCTACATTCACTTGAAGTCCCGTTTTCGCTGCTTCGCCTCTTTTTTCAACGTGTTAGTTTTTGCCTGTCGATCGTGTTTGTACCACAAGATATTGGACGTTAATCATTGTCAGCGAAATCCAAATCTTCTGGGGTCTTTTCATCTGTTGAACAGCGTATACCCATCCTCTCGCTCCTCACAGTTTCTTGCATGCTCCAACCAGGCCCACCCCTGTCCTTACTTCGGAGGCACCACTGAGCTTTCAAATATGAGCCGCCTGGCATGCAGCGTTATCATATAACTCATGAAAAAGGTTTGCAAAGTTTTGCGGCACCAAAACCGTATCGTTGAAGCCACTGACAAATTACCTGTCGGCCGGCGCTGCTGAAGGCCCTTTCAAGATCGATGAAGTTGAGGTGAAGAGCCGGTTGACTGCCGTTCCACTCTCTGTTCTATGATGATGGTACGTGGCGCATCGTTGCAGTTTGGCTGGCACATGATTTGCTCTTCCTGAAGGCAGCCAGCCTGTTCCAGTCGTAATTTTGAATCCTGAGCACCTTTTAGCCGGTCAAGGATGATGCCGCTTGATATTTTGCTTGGAATGGACGGCAGCATGATTCCGCGCCGGTTCTTGCAAAGACATTGGCCTCCCTTCTTCAAAGTTCGGCGACGGAGCCCCTCTTCTGATATGCAGGTACATTTCCTTCCTTCTAAACCTTCTTCAGCAACGGTGCTGGCATGTTCCCTGATGTCCCTGAGTCTGTTTTCGGTGCTTCTGGAGAAATTCCATCTAGTCCTGCTGCTTTCTCGGATTTCAGCAACTTTGTGGCGTTCAGGACCTCACTTCCGCTTCTGTCGGAGGGCTTGTGTTCACTGACGGTTTTGTGGCTGGGCTCCCGGTGGCATTTCTAAACGAGTTGCGGTTGGTGGTCGATTCAAGAGTTTCTTGAAGTGGCCAGCCCATCGTTTCCTTCGTTTCTGTTTTCTGGCAACTAGCCTTCCTTCACTATCTTTCATTGGTTTCATTAGCGTTGACCCCTTCCCACGTTATTCGAAATGTTGTCAGGTCTCTCCCACCAGCAGCCTGTTCTGCTTCACTTGCAAGCGTGTTGTAGAAATGTTCTTTGTCTTTGCGCACACTCTACTCCGCTTTCATGTCCAGTGTTTTTCCACCCAGGTTTCTCCAGAGATGTTGCCTAATGTCGCCCACTTTGTCCTGGCGGCTGACGTGAAGATGTCGACTGTAGTTTTCTCCATTTCTTTAGTTTCTGTTCTGGGTATTAAACTTGAATTATGGCCTATCATCAGCCTTCAGCTTGATTTTTAAAGTTCCTTGAACTACTAGGTAGTGGTCTGAACCTGCATCTGCTCCCCCTCTTGTCTCGTGTCCAGTAGGCTACGTCCCCATCTCCCTCTCTTCAGATTGAGATGAAGTTGATCTGATTTTTAGCGAGTTAATCTGGTGATACCCATGTCACTTCGTGAATGTCCATGCGTTTGCAAACACTGCCTCCAATCAACAAATCATTGGGTGTGCAGAAGTCTGCAAACAGTCCTCCACTCTCATCCATTTCACCAAGTGCCTCTCGACCCATGATAAGTTCTTTCCCTGCGTTGTCTGCTCTCAGTTTGGCATTCGGGTCACCCACTAGAATTGTGATATCGCCATCTGGGGTGGTGACTTGTCCATCACTGACTGCAGTTTTCCACGGAATTCCCGTTCCTCCTCTTGATCTACCTTATTTGTATGTCTGTAATTCTCTTTCCTTTTGGTTTGAGTCTTGCTGTCATGATCCTGCAAGAGAAGATTGGTTACCACTGCACAAGCGAGAGCCTTTTATGCCCTTGAAGGTGTCATGATAACCACTGCAAGACTCAGTGTGCCCGTCAGTGTTGCCAGTGTGACAACACCGGAGTAGATTATTGACTCTCCAGTTGACGGTTGGGAGGGTCCACTTCCATTCCATTTCGCAGACTCCTGGCACTTCTACGCTATATCTTCTCGTCTCTTTTGCAATCTGGGCAGCCTTGCTAGATTCAAATATTGTGCGGACATTCCATATCCCTATTTTTACTTTCGTCGTCATCGAGAGAAGACACATCGGCTAACTTGCTTCCCGAGGGCTTTCACCAACTGGCGTCATTTCGCCTACCCGATTCCAGCGAGGAATAATTTTGTTTTTATTTTCTACATCTTGTTTGTTCTTTGAAGTTTTTTTAGCGGTTAAATTGGTTTTCCCGGGGTGGGGTTGCTAGTTCCATGCCCAAACTTCCCTCTTTATCCGGGCTTAGGACAAGCTGGTAACTAGTGGACTATTAAGCTAGGCGGAGTTGACAGACATAGAGATCAGTTGATCATTCTCTCTACTTGAAGAACACCTACATGTGCGGGATGAAGAAAGAACTTAGTAAGGTTAGCTGGTAGAGATGGCAAATTTAGTGGACGGTGGCGAAATACTGAGGAGTGTCTATTGACTAGTTACATAATATAAGAGCAGCTCAAAGTAGTGTGACAGCCTGCCAGGCGGCGCAGTTGCTTGACCATATACCTCCAGCCTAATCCTCTCGCTAAGGCTGTGAGGTTCAGTTGGGATATGGATGTGGCCAGGGAAACTCACTGGTGTCACATCATACCAGCGCGCCGTCGGCTTCTTACAAGCCCCTTTGCATTGGCATTGTTATCATATGCAAGAAACAATCTCCTACTCCTCTCCATCAGCCCAACTACAGCATCCCCTGTTGAAGAATTTTCTACTACAGTTGCTGTCGCAGCAGCAGTACAGTTACTGCTTTTATCTCTATCACCCCCTTTTAAGTTCTTTTACTCCCTGTTGTTTAACCCTGTTGTAACTTTTTCCCAGTCGCAACTTTTTGACGTCATCTCCAAACCATCTGTGGTGTTTTGGCTGAGCTGCAGCAGACCCTTTATCAAGGGTCTGAAAACATTGCTGAAGACATTGAAGCAAGCTCTAAGGAATCAGGTACTCCAAAGCGGATCAAATGACAGATATTGACTATTGGAAAAGTAGGGGAGAAGAAGAGACTTTCCAATGCCTTTCAGGAAACGGACCATGCTTCTCCACACCCGTGACTCTCAGAAGGTACCCTATTCTTCCTTCGGAACACACCTTTCCCGCACCATCACGAAGAAAGGCCCAGGACTAATACTCACCGATAGGCTAAACACCAGCTCCAATCGTCCAGGAGGTGCCTCCAGAGCCAACACAGTACACCACTTCATGCGCCCTAACTCCGCAACTCCCCCTGAAGCTGTACGAGACCTACATGAAGCCTAACCTAGAGGTCCACAACATCATCCCACCACCAAATCTGAAAAGAGATGTGATCACCTGGTATAAGGTTCAAAGGCGAGCAACAAAGGGTGCATTGGAAATGAGGCAAAACCCTACGAGGACAGGCTGAAAGACTTAGGACTCTGCTCTCTTGGCCACCGTGGATTGTGAGGCGACTTGATAATCCTTTATAAGACAGTGAGTAATCCAAGTCATCCAAACAGTGGAATCCTACCGAGTGGCAACTGTAGTCATCTACGTGGCAACCCGAGGTGAATCGCCCACCAAGGGGTGAAGACCCGTATGAGTCCATACTCCTCCCTGAGAGTTTGCGGCCACTGGAACGCATTGTCTACCGAGATTGCTGCCGCCCAGTCTACTGACAGCTTCAAGAAGAGGCTGGAAAGTTACTCACGGTTTAAGTTCATCCAATTGGGATGTAGACTAGGCTGATACATCCTAGTAACTCAGCACAAATCGGCATGACTGGCTCATTACCGAATCATTTGTAACGCCAATATCATCGCGAACCTGGCTCAACCGTGTACTTCCTTGTAGATATCTCCAGTTACCATGTTCTACTAGTAGTATTACTATCCGTATCCCCATAGGCCGCCCTATAGTGTTATTTGCTCCTTCTCTTCTTACTGGCCTTATGCTCCTACACCACTGAATAAAAACTCTCCCTATCACCCGTCTCCCACCAATCTACTGGAGTTTCTTCCTCCGTTCCATTTCCTTTGGCCTAGTCGTTTTATCCCCTTTCGTATTTTTCTTCGCACTTCCTCTCCTCTGATTTCTCTAGGCATATTTTCTGTCTTCTTTTTACAACCAGTCTGATGAATCGTCTGCTGGCACCCATATGCACCACGGTCCTAGAAAAAACCACACACTGTCTTCAAATTTAACCAGCACCCAACCACTCGTCGGACCAACCAGAGCTACAGCGGTCGAGTGGGTAGACCTACCGCATCGGGACCCACCAAAGACCAAAGACCATTCCGCAAGATCTAGAAGCGACCGTAGCTCGTAAAAAGATATTGGATAGGGGGCAAACTGAGTCACAAACCAATTCTAAGGATTTAGTTGGGAGATTTCAGCAACTTTTAGTTATGTGTATGGAAACATTAATGTTGAATATTAAACCATTGGAACAGAAATCCGGTTGATTCCAGTGAAATGGCTACAGTTAGAGTAAATACCAGTGCTGTTAGGGCACTGCAGAAGGAACTTAAAGATCTTACTGAGTTTCCAGTTGAAGGGTTCAAGGTAATGATTTCTGAGAAAGAAAACCTCTTTATTTGGGACGTCGCAATATTCGGACCACCTATGACTTTATATGAAGGAGGTTATTTTAAGGTAAACGCCTTTTGGTTTTGTATTTCCAGGCTCGGTTGCGTTTCCCTGAAGACTATCCCTATAGTCCACCCACAATGCATTTCTTAAGCAAGATGTATCATCCTAACATATACGAGAGCGGTGAAGTTTGTATATCAATTTTACATACGCCAGGCGATGATCCTCAGAGTGGTGAATTACCATCTGAGAGATGGAATCCAACACAAAATGTCAGGTTTGCATCACCTTCATTAATTTTGTGCGGTATAGGACCATACTACTGAGCGTTATTTCCTTATTAAATGAACCAAACATAAATTCAGCTGCCCATGTTGATGCATCAGTGGCCTATAGGAAGTGGAAGGAGTCTAACGGAGCTGAAGACGAATATGAACGTGTCGTTAGGTAAGTTGTAGACAGTAATATTGCAAGTTTAGTATTTAAACTACATAAGTGACTAGTTCATTGTTCAGTATGTGGTTTTAGTATTATTTTGGTGCGCTGTAAGTACTTTTTTATTATCGTAACTCCAGTTGATTTCAATCAAAAGACTATAGCCAATGCGAACTGATTATATGCTTAGTACACTGCCTTACCACGTTTTTATGGTTAACAATTAGTGGCCATAACCAACACCCGCTTTTTCGGCCTGCAGTATCCAATCATAGTGCACACGAATAAGCTGTGAGCGATGAACTATATACACTTGCTTCATCAACCTTCTTTATGGTTTCAGGTACGTAAATTAATTAAGGTAGTCCATTCCACCAGAAAATTAGAATGTTTTATGTCACGTTTCTGGCTGTTGTGCTGTTTAGTTTTTTATATAATTATACACTTACCTCTATACAGTCTTTTCTGTGACGCTGTTGTATGAATAATTTTAGGAGATTATTTTTGCATTCGTTGACTTGAACCGCTATTCCTTCACTTAAAACCGTATTTCTCAAAATCTCTATTGTTAATAAAATTGGTCAAGTAGAATCAAGAAATCGTTCTATCCTTGAGTAACCATGTCTTGTAGCTGTCTATCAGGCCAATAAGTATTTCGGTTGTATTTATTGTTAAATTCACCAAGATTAGATTGGCTTACACCGGTTATTAAGCGTGGGAGTTTTCGCACGTGTTTTCAAAAGTTGAGGGGATCGGATATTGTTAACTCACTTCTATAACAATGTCAAAGCGTCAAACCTTTATACTAAGCCATAAGCCGCAGTGGAAGTTTCTCCTTGCTAAAATCCATTGGAGCTGAGAATCATTAATCTAAATACTTGACTTTCAACCAGTGGGCTACTGGTTGGCGTGCTACTGCAAACACGGTCTGTGCAGTTGGGTAGTATCGTGAACCCTCATAAAAGAAGTGGCTCGTTCATCACAAACGCATATATAGTTGCTGAGCTGCATTCGGATTTCGGATCCTTTGATTTCAAATGGGCTAATAGTTACTAGCTGCTTCCTCACTGTTTTATGACCGAATTCTCAATTAGTGGAATGTAGAAGTTAAATTTTGGTTTTTAGGTCCGACTCCCGAATTTCAACCCATTAACTTCTATTAAATACCCATGGCGTGACCCTTTAGTTATCAAGTGGGCTTTCATCCTTTAGACGTTGAGTCTCACCGAATCTGCATCATTTTTTTGTGTACCACAAACAACTTTTGGGAGCTTGTGCTCACTGAAAGTCAATGAATAACTAATCCGCTTATGACTGCTTATTTCAGGGACAACACGGTTTCTGTACTGTTTTATAATCCCATTTGTTTTAGCATTTCTAAGTAGTTGCGATCGACATGGTATTGTAAAGCTAAGTTAATGTTGTTCCCTGTCACAACAATAGAAATGTATTACTTTTTTCTATTTCAACGCAAGAAACCAATTTTTCAAACTTTTGTAATCATCTTTCACATTCAATCGATCGTGTATAATATAACGTATGTTCTCACACTGTATGATCACTTTTCTCACTGAATCTACGGTTAGAATGATCTAAAAGTTGAGCAGATTTGAATCGGCACACTGCAGTCATAGTAGTCGGTATAAGAAACTTTTATTCTTCAGAGAACCATGCACATCATCTTTTTCCAGGTGCTATCTTTGGATAGGACATCCCAGTTAAGTAAATACATGCTCCACTGTTGAGTTTTTCTGATTGGAACATTAATGGTTACGGTATGTCGGCGGAAATGTGCTAATGACCAGTTATTACTCAATCAAAATGCACCCAGCAACTACTTGCACGTTCATGTAGTAGAAAATGAACTACACCTAGTGTGTAGCAGCTAATAATACTATTTATCTGCTATGACCTCGGTAGACTGGGCGAAGTTCAGACCCTTAATCCACTGGTTGAAAGTCACAATACTTATATGTATCCAGTCATGTTGGTTATAATAATTTTTACCAGACTTTGAAAGTTCATCTTGATCAAGTGTCCAGCATAACTTACATTACATATGGTTTTATGCCAATGATAAAAAATCAGCAGGTAATAAACGTAAACACCATTTAGATAATGCTGATATGTCAATCTTTTTGGCCTCAGTAGTTATTGTGAATCAATAAAATTTTATCCCAGAACTATATCAGTACCTAAAAGTAGTACTGGTAGAGTAAAATATCCGATATTTACTTTGTTCATTTGATGTGACAAATATCGGTACGGTAGTTTGTTGCTCATGATGTCAAAGTAGTTAAGAAACTTAGAATACATTTCATATATTTGACCGAATAGTATCGCAAATATTGGGGGCTGAGTAAAAGATTGACATTAGATATAGTTTGTATTTGTGTAAGTCAGCGTGTTTAAAATGAAATAATTACAGCGTTTCCCACGGAAGTCTGATCAGAGTTTCTTTAAGGAAATGATTTCCCTGAACTGACTAGATTGAGGAAGTATGACAGACTGAGTGTTCCATCACTCTAGAATGGGGCCATCACTGTGCCCATCTTTAAAAGAGGTCTACATAAGGTATGTGACAATCACCAACGTGTTAGTCTGTTGCCAGTCTCGTGAGAAACACTGGTTGCTATCATACCTCGCAGGCAGCAAAACGTGTGAGAAAATGGTTCGCGAGGAGCAGGCCGGGTTTCATTCAGTTGCTGAATGTATTGGTCATATGTTTACCCTCTTCCACATGCTTGAACATCGCCAACAATCGTTTTTTCGACATTTGGGCTGCGTTCAATTCGTTGGACAGAGCGGTACTCTGGAATTGTCTGTTGGAGATGGGCATGCCTGAGAAATTAATTAGCATCTTGGAAGCCCTTATAACACCTCAGGTATAGTGAGGACATGTAACCACCTGTCTCCATTCTTCCAAACCAGCAGTAGGATTAGGCAAGGTTACCCGATTTCTCCATTCCTCTTTAACTTTGCCGTGGATGACATTCTTGAGACAACTCTGAAGGAGATGCGGTATAGTGTAGATCCACTACCCAGAGAACGGCTATTCAACCCTGAATATATAGACGATATCGTCTTACTGTGCGATAACACGGGCTATTAAGGTCGCACTTAATCAGTTTACGATTAATGTCCAGAAATGTAGTATATACTTTGCATCATCGAAGTGCGAAGTACTTCTGCAAGAATGGTAGGAACCTGTGCCTGGGCTCACTCTTGGTAGTGAGCTGTTCGAAGAAGTCGAAAAGTTCATGTATCTGAGTAGTTGTGTGATGAAAACTGCTAATGACATATCCCAATCTGGACCACCCTTGGCACCTTCTCAACTTTAGCCTGACTGTAAAGGGCCGGGTTTACAACTCCTCAGTGCGAGCAGTTCTGCTGTACGCCTGTAAAACCTGATCTCTCCGAGCTGAGGACATACGTCACTGTGTGTTAGACCATCCTTGTTTCCATAAAATTGCTAGTGTCCGGTAGCAACACCTGGTAAATAGTTCTGAGGTACGACAGCGTGTTTTTGCATGGTGAAGATCGTCATTCAATAGGTGAAGCCATTTTGGAACTCCAGCTTCAGTAGCTTGGACATGTGTTACGCATGTCGTCCCAACGGCATTCGTATCGTTCACTGTTCGCTAACCCTGGGACTGGATGGAAGGATTGGATAGGTAGTCAGTGTATGACGTGGCGCTGCGGGATGAAGAATTGTTGTTTCGGGCTAGCATCTACTGGTGCGTCACGACTCCCTGAGTGGGAGCCGACAGATCACGCAACTCAGTGGCTTGAGACGTTATCAGATATGGCTCAAAATCGAAACCAGTGACGGTCATGCTGCAGCTTCCTCCTATCTTCTGCTGCTGAAAAGTAATAAATGTTTTGTTCCTAATGTACGCTACTGGACTGCTATTCTTATCATGCTATGCTTATTGTTTTCCATTCTTAATTATCCACTCCCCATCATTTATGCCTTCACATTGTTGTTATACTATTTAGTGTGGCGCATTTCTTAGTGCCCTAGCTGTACCATATTTTTATTCTAATGATAATATAACCTAGCCTCCCCTAGCATGACGCATAAAGTAGACAATGGCTCGGCATGCTCAGTACATGTCTAAGCCAGTTCAGTCGACTGAGGTTCACAACTTCAATTAACTTACCTGTCGTGCCTAGTACTTTTCACCTGACCTCAATATTACTCACACGGTGGTTACACCAAACACGAGCAATGCTACGAAGACATATGTAGTCAGAAAACTGTAGTCACTTCATATCTACTTGAAACGGCCATTTTACAGCTATATAACAGGACAGAACTGACTGCAGCACAGTATACTCATCCTTTGACAGATAGTCGAATATCTTGCGACAGCTAACGCATGTTGACTAGTGCCAAATGAACTTTCTGTATCCGAGCTGAGATTTCGTCAGCGACCAGCCTGTTCGGGTTGATGCAACTCCACAAGTAAGTAAAGTGGTCGACACATTCCACCACTTCACTCTATCATTAAGCTGAGAGCTGTTGCAGACCAGTCCTGAAGGATCGTCTTATATTTGATAGGTGCCAGCCAAATGCACACAGATTTCCGCTCAATGTGTTCACAAGACTTGCATTTCTTCAGCGTCTCCACCTAGCAGAACAATATCGTCTTCATACTCCAAGCGAACCAGATGACCTCCAGGGAGCAGCACTTCAATCTGTGTGAAGTAAGACGTACCGAAAATTGTGTCGATTACTACGTCTGTGACGAAGTTAAATAGGAACGGCGACACTGGACATCCCCGGTTGACCTCACTATGTGTCATCAATTCATATGACAACTCTCCATAAGCCCTTAACATGGCTCCATGAGTTCGAGTATAGAGCTTTGATTACCGTTATTTTATTACTCGGTACTCCTCTCACAGTCAGACACTGCCACAATACCTCACGATTGACCGAGTCAAGTGCCACCTTTACGTCAAGTAATATGGCAAGTGTCGACCAATGGCCGGTGGGTTGCCTGACTTCCAGAACTTGTGGGAGGGTGAAAATATGGTCGGTACACCCTTGTCTAGCTGTGTCTAAAATCTGCCTGGTTTTCTCAAAATTGCTGTTATTGAGCTCCGGTTAGGGGTTGGATAACTATGGACCCTGGGATCTTGGACACAATATTGGTCAAACTAATTCCTCTATGTTTGTCACAAGGTTTCTCTCCCTTATAGACTGGGATGACCAGAGAAGTACACCAGTCTGACGACACTACCTCTAATGCGTATACACTACCTAGTACCTCCGTCACTGTAGTTAGCGATTTCCCTCTTCAACCCTTGAAAGCTTCAGGTGTCATACTGTCAGGTCCTGGTGGTTTGCATCATTTCATGTTCGATACCGTGTCCTTAACTTCGAAGAGAGCTGGAGGATTGACATTTACGTTCTTTTGAAATTCGGGCTGGATGTTGGGCAAGTGAAGCGTTGTTGAGGGTCAGTTTAACTGTGCTTCAGTGTTCTGCCTAACGTTCTAGCACCTATCGTGGAGGGTTATCAGCGTCCCGTGCTTTTCGGTGATATTTTCATTGACCATCTTCTTGTCGGTATCCTCAATAAGCCTAAATAGTTGCCGATTTTTATCCATCTCTGATGCCCTCCCCATCTCTCTCGCTTTCGCTACCCGTCACTACTGGTGATCACTGCGAAAGCTCTTGGTCAGCTTACGTTTCAGTTACTTTTGCTCTTCGTTGTGATTGAAGCTAGCTATAATCAGTCTTCTTGCAACAGTCAGTTCGGATGACGTTGCATAGACCCATTAACGTTTGCTAGCCTTCAGGTGTAGGTTACCGACTGTGTTTACCGCTGTTTTTACGGCATACTTAATATCACCCCAGGTTTCCTCAGGATGAGCATTTCTGTCACGTTCAGACAAATATTTAGCCAACTGCCCTCTAAACGCGTACTTGGCATCCTCATCTAATAATTGAAGAAAGATGGGCCTCACTGTCTTCTCTTTCCTGTAGTCAGTAAAGCACAGACATCGAGGCCGTACTAGCACGTGATCAGAGTTCAAACTGGTAGTCTGGAAAGAAGGACAGTCATCCACCGATCCTCTACAACGATGACTGGCTGATAGCAATGTTATCGGTCTGTATCTATCGTTGGTTTGTGGTCGGCGAACGCCGTCTGAGACATTGTCTCTCCTTATGCCTAAAGCTACTTCTGGACATAAACAAGTGATTGTCGGGACCAAATTGCAGTAGACGATCGCCTTTGTGGATTTGTTAAAATAGAATTCCGTGGATACCTCAAATACCTTTCCAACTGACTCAGCTTCCCTACTTGAACAGATGGAGTATGCCGCTTTTGAGGCTGACCCTTTCTAACCCTTCTTTCCTCGTTGGGAAGGTATCATTAGCATAGTACTGCTGGTCATCTAAGGAAACACCTTTTTGTCGTCACACCCCATCCATCTAACAGCAGTAGGACTTCGCCCTCAGGCCCCATCATAGTGTGGTAATTTACACTATAACAATAACTGCTTTTCGTCTTACGACTATCCAACAGACCTTTCTAGCATGGTAGGGCCTTGAAACAACAAGCGTTCCACCAGCATAGTTGGTTGTGCCATTGTGATATGCAAGCCCTACCTCCATGGGCGGATGTTCTTCGCCATTTTCATGACGTTCTACAGGTGGAGCCAGTGCGCATCTACACTTTCTGGAGGATCGGTAGCTAGCTTCAAATCTAACTTGGATTGGTATTTGGCTGAAATCTTAGTTGGAACTAGTTTACTTGCGTCGACCTGTTTAGAATGACGGTCTTGATGACCAGCAAAGAGCTTAGCACACACTAAGGGATGACCAGAGTCTGGACAAGTACTCTGTGTGGAGCGGCAGTCCTGTATGCACCCACGCCATCGGTAGCTTATTGCAGTATGATCTATTTGAGCCCAGGCTTGAGTGGGAGAGGGAGGACACCAAGTAGCACAACGGTCATGGCTGGACCGGAAGTTAGTGGTGGCTAGAAATAGGTTGTGGTCTGCGCAGAGCTGCATAGGACAATCTCCACCATCCAATCTGCTGCCAACTACTCCCCATTGGCCACCTAAAGGACTCTCCTGAAAGCCTAGGCACCCGACCTGCGCATTCAAGTCCACGGCTAGCACTACGATATCTGCAGAGCGCATTGTTGAGATCACTTAGTTGATGATAGGATTCATCGTTGGTTGCATCTGGGCTGCAAACCGTTGGGGCGTAGGCAGAGATGACAAAGAGACATCGTTTTCCTTGCCAGTTATTTATTACTCGAGATGATTCTACTTGCCTCATAGCACACACTGACCGACAAAATCAACGTAGAACCTCTCACACAAATGCAGTAGTTCACGTTGCCACACTTCACAGTAGCATATAGAAAACATATGAAAAGAGAAAAGAAGTGATATCAAAGTGAGCGAAGTTGTGTGAGAGAATAAACAATCTGAAGATAAACCTTAGTATGAATATTCAAGCCTTAGAAGATGTCAAGGAGTGAATACATCTGTGCCACTGTGACCGATTTTCAGCCATATCGCCAAGAGTTTTCAACTACTGATGCATTTCATCTCGGACGCCCCAACCAGTCAGTCTACATCTGCTCACACGGCTCAGAACAACAGTCAGAGACTTCATCATCAAGGTGGTGAAACTAAACCTGTCACCAGTCGATGAAGTCTCTGACTTCTTTTCTCTTTTCACATGTTCTTTATATGTTCTTTATATACTACTGTGAAGTGTGGCAACGTGAACTAGTGCATTTGTGTGAGAGGTTCTACGTTGGTTTTGTCTGTCTGTTCTATTTTAGCAATACAACAATTTTTTCTCATCAATAAATATTGAATCTTCTATATTTCATGCTTTGCGAAGTGACTCGTAGAATACAGATAGCGACATAGCTAACCCTTTCAATGACTCAGCAACAAAGTAACTATCGTAATGGCGAATAAAGTTAGTTATATAAATCTGACTTCATCATGAAGTAGTGAGAATTTTGGTTTGCACCCGTAATTACAGTTAGTGGAGTGGCAAGAGGTATCTAGATTAGTGCAGATTTCATAAGAAATCATTCTCAAATTTGAGTTCTCTCTCCAGATGCAAGTCATGTCCTAATAGTTGACGGCATGATTTTTAGTAGTGACTAGTGTAATACTTTAATTTATAGTTCCTAGTCATCATTTTCTTTGAACCTGGTACTTGTTTTTACCTTGAACTTCGTTTATGTATCCTTCGACAAACTCGAAATATCTTTTAACCGTCTTTCTATTTGGTCTAACTTTTGACTTTGTAAAGTATCAGTATCTCCCACAGAAATTCTATCTGTTTCGATCAAGGGATTCAAACTTCTATCTCTTAACCACCCTCTTTTAAGATTAATGTCAGTAAAGTTCTTGTTTACTAAGTGGTTGATGTAACTTGGTTGTCAGTATATTATACTTTTACGACGTTCAAATTCTTAGTGCTACAACTTGATCTGCACCCTATTCCGGTTCCTCATTTTAGTTTTATGAATCTTTTTATGCCCCAGGTCACTTGTTAGGGCGACTCATGAAGAAGCGGAGAAAGACAGAGTAGTTGTTCCAACCACCCTTGAAGATTATTGCGTGAGTGGCAGATCAGCATCAAAAGCATTTTATCACCAATCTGGTGACGTTGACGATTTGTCAGATTATGATGCCAGTAATGAATACTACGGTTCTGACGAAGACGATGACGAGGAGAGTACGCCAATAGATAGAAATGAAGATGAGAGTGTCAAATCTATTGAAGAACGATCTTACTTATCACAAGTAATTGATTCTACAGCAAAAGAACCTTGTTCAAGTAAATCAGAAAATATCTCGCAAACCACATTGAATTCATCATTGGACCCAAGTGAACTTTCAAGAGTTATCGATCACAGGACTTCAAGTGAATTTAATCGCGTTACATCGGCAAGTTAGTCTGTCTTTTGTCAAATATGTGAGTTTTCAGTGAATTTCGCCTTTTGTAATGATCCTATGTATCTTGTTTGGAAGGATTAGCAGAGTTTACTGACCAAAAGAGTCAAACTAAACTGAAATTTGTGTTGTGGTACGCAATCGCAATTACTGTGCATAATTTTTAATCGTGTCATGTGGTGTACAAATTGTTGAAAAAGGAGATTACTTACAAACTTACATTAGAGTTACATTAACATTTTTCATACTACGAACATAATCACTATTACTACTGACTCAAAAACCACTGCTTTCGCACATCTGTTTTCCTGCTTTGCACTAATTACTTGAACCTACATATCCGAATCTTGTACATTTTTCTCACCTGATAATTTCATCGGTCTTCCATTTTCTACTGAATCAGTAGCCTCTAATACAGCATTCAGTCAAATCTTTTGTATGTATCTTTGATATTATTTGCAGTTTTTTCTCTGTTACTGTATTGGTCCTTCGGAGTAAAGTGCTGCTAGATCAAGTGGGTTTATGTTTATGTGCTATTTTACTCGTTTAATTAGTTAGTAAAATCAAATCTACAACAGGTATGGGTGTTTTTTTTTCACTTGCCAGTGTAATCGGTGTCCGTTTTGTTATGTTTTAGGCTTATCAGCTAACTTTTTGGTTTTTTAGTGTTTTTATTGACATATGAAGTCAGTACTTCAAACTACAAAGCATTGAGCGGATTACAGATAAGTCTTATCTGCTTTTCCTGACTTGATTTAGAGTCATTTATCAAAACCCGTTTCAATGACCTATAAGCATGCAGTTTATGCGAATTCTAAGTTTCATTAGTTTCTCTTTTGTGAGAATCAACTATTTTCGTATATCACGTAGTAAGTGAGGCATATTGTTTAGCAAAGGTTCATTTCATCAGCATATTCTTCCAACTAGATGATTATTGCTAATTATTTTTATCAACTTACTTGTTGAAAAGTCACTAGGAATGTATAAAGTACTAGTCTGTTTTTTCCCTGCTCAATTTTCAGCGGTACAGCGTCACAAAATATTATCATTTTATCTATGTGTTAGATCAAACAAGTGTCTTTCACTTAGCAAGGAATTAAGATTTCATGCATAAATACAACTTGGCAACCATATATGTGTTCATGTACAATAAACTCACATTTTGTTAGCGTTTTTGATACCTCTTACTAAACCCACTAGTTGAAAATCGAGAATGTAAACTAATAAAGCAGTTCTAATGTAATGAAGCTGTAGATAGCTGCTATCTATAGATAACGGATCGCTTATGTTGGAGTGGAGATGTGGTTCATTGACATAACTTTCAACTACTGGGTCCATAGCTCAAATATTGTAGCACTTGCTTAAGCCTGGGTTGTCAAGTTGTATCAAAAATCGTCAAAGGATCAGCTTGACTTGCAGTCGAGTGCACAAAATTGTACTGGGTGAAGTTTCATTGGTTAATTATTAAATTACCTATGTTAGAAATAGTCATAACACAGTCGAAAAACCTGGAAGTTATAAATGTCTGCAATGCTTCATGTGTTATGGCTTATACGTTATACTTATCAGGAAGTCCACGATTTGTATCCCCCTCTACGTACTTTACCCTGGGTAACCGGGTAGTATCACAACCCATCCATCCAAATCAACATTGGACGAGGCATTACTGCGTAACGGTCCGAGTTGCCACACCTCATATCACCACATAAAGTAAAAAGGCAGTGAAGTGGAAGATGAAGGAAAGAAAATTCAGTCAAAAAAAATATAAAGTACTAAAGGAGAGAAAGGAAGAATGAGAAATTTGTGAGATTCGGTGTAACGTTAAGATGAGGATAATATTTGTATACATCTGCGCCACTGACATCTGTTCTCAGCCATATCACCTAGAGCCTCCAACCGACTAGTTTGCATCGCCCTACATTGCTCAAACCAACAGTCGAAGACTTCATACATTGATGCTATGTTTTAGTCTGGTTGCCTCGAGCCTTTTTACAGCCTGAACCTACTTCAGCCAACATTATGTGACGAGGCAGACGGTGACTAAGCATACGTAATATGTCCCAACTATCTCGGTCGATGTAGGTTCACAATTGTGTCAACCGACTTATCTCTTCCTCCTAAAACTCTACTCCTGACTTCTATATTACTCAAGTGGTGACACCACGGAATACGGAGGCCTATACTACGAAGGCGACGGTGGTGAAACAATTGAAGCCTTCTCATGTTTTCCACCTTCAATGGTCATGCTTCACAGCCGTAAAGTAGAACAGAGCGGAGTGCTGTGGAGTACACGTGACCCTTAATAGATAGTTGGATATCACGGTGGTGGCGCCACAGGTGGCGTAAGTTGGCGAAAGCCAGTCGAGCCTTTTGTGTCCGTGCCGAGATTTCATCGGCCACTGAGCCACTAGGGTAAGGTTGATCCTACTTCCCATGTAAGTGAAGTGGTCGACACAATCAACCACTACACTCTCTATTGTTAACCGGGGTACCATTGAAGACCAATCGTGGAGCAACAATTTACATTTGGGTGGTGAGAAATGCATCCCAAACATTCTCAAATTGTCACTCAAAGTGTGCAGAAGACTCTGCATGTTGTCAACGTCATCACCTAATAGGACTATGTCATCTAGTATCACAAGCGCTGAAAATAAGTGGCTCATTTCTTCATACCAAAACCTGAACTGGATAGAGTGTCTTCACTAGATTTAACAGCGCTTCTTAGAGCACATTTCGAAAACAATGACAACTGTCATCACACATCTAAGTGCTCGTGTGACACTTTATGAAAGAAAAGTTTGCAGAAGAAAACTAGACGATTTGTTTACAAATTATTTTCATGTAGCAGTCTATGTTCAATTTTCTCACAGCTAAGTGGTTGTTCATCCACCCATCTGTGGTGTCAACAGGGTTTTGATCGGAAACTACCCAACTGAGATTACAAAGTACGGTATCTGACTCATTGTTGTGAGCTCGTATCAGTGGAAATGACACTATCTATATACCAATACTCACTATAAGACAGCTTACTCTGTTTGTAACCAAGCGTCTGCTATTCAAAAGTAGAATCCAAGGTGATTTTCATGCTAATTTGACAATCATCGGAGAAAGAAATCAACACTGGGATTCCTGAGTCCAGCCTTTAGGAATTACTTCTTATATGTACATTGAATGTATACTTTAGCTTTAATAATGCATGTTATAGACAAGTAGATGGGATCGCCATTAGGCCCATTCTTTGCAGACTTTTTTCTGGCCAAACTAGAGAATGGACCATTGAAGGAGGATATCGGCAAGCTTGATATTTATTACAGATACGTGGATGGCACATTTATTATAATGCATCAGAACGAACTATTGAGAAAGTTTGACAGCATACATCCGTCACTTGCCTTCACTTGTGAAAAAGAACAGGACAGTGGGCTAAATCTCCTTGATGTTATATTAAACAGACGAGGAGATAGATCACTTCACAGAAGCGTGTGCAGAAGAAACAAATCTACATGTCAATACACACGATACAAAAGAAATTTAGTGAAATACTTGACAGCCAGGGCAAAGAAAATCTACTCAGATGACGCTCTACAGAGTGAGTCAGAGTGAATTTTAACTCATTGATGGAAGTAGGTTATCCTCACAATTTTACAAAAAAGCATATGAATAGACCGGTGAAAAGACCCGAAGCAGCAACCGCTCAAAAAAAACCACTATTCATAAAGCTACAATTTAATGGGGATATACTTAGTGAAATTCTTTTCCACAGACTGTCGAGAACCATTAAAAGAATGTTTTATGAAGGGAACTTCTGTTTATTGTTTTCTGGTCGAAGATTTGTTCCATGTCAAACGGATAAGTTACTAGTTTCGCCACTTCCATGTGTATTTACCCGTTTAATTGCTCCTGTGGGTACAGTTATACCGGGTGTACGACTAGGCAACATAACCGACGTATTGGTGAACACCTACCTTCGTGGCTGGGTAAAGGACAGGTTAAATCTATAAGAAGCTCTATTTTGTCGCATCTAGTTGACACTGATCACAGAGTAGACAAGCGAAAGCGTTCAAAGTGATTTACCACATACCGCCGAACCTTTTCGATGGAGTTAGAGTTCACCTCTTACATACAATTGAGGCTATAGGAACTCGAATAAACAATCCAAGCTCTGTATCCAGAAGAAATTTGTACAGCCTTTATCCCATGCCTTGCCCAGGGAGAACTTGATGAATGACCTTACCTATGAATCTTAAAATATACTCTTCCTTTTTATTTTACTTCATTTTATCACCCCTTTCACAATACTCTGTTAACATTCAGCTCTTATTTATTTACCGTCTTCAATCTCCAGTATCACACAACCTTATTGTGCTTTTTTGTTTTTCAATCTTTGACCTACATTGTCTGTCTATCTGTGTGAACACCTTTTAAATTATCGTGTCATTATGAACATTCGTATTAACCTTTTTACAGTCCGTATTCCTTGTTGTTGTTGTCCCACAAATTACCTTCATTGGTTGATATTTTAAAATTTGTTGACAGTTATGTCTATTGGAGTGAAGCCTGATGAGATCTAATTAAAGGCAATATTGTTCGCTTACGTGTCTTTTTATAATCATCGGATAACCATTATGAACGAGAAAGCATTATGTAGCTGTTTAATCGTTATTTGAGTCTCTGTACAAATGCCTATTTTACTTGCCCTTCGTTGAGCTCGGGATCTTGGGACCTCGTAGAGGTCACACTATCATCCGACAACTGGAAATTCCCTAACTTCATTCAGTTCTGAAAAGATCCGACTATCATTTGATGACATCACTGAGCTTTCAGGCCGATGGCCGCGGCTTTGACGTGGTGGTTGGTGTTGTATATCACAACGAGCCATGCTGATGGGACGCTTATTCCTTCGAGGTCCTTGCATGCTGCTAAGGTATTTTGGATAGTGGTAAGACGAAGGGCAGTTACCATTGTAGTGTAAATTACTACGCTATGATGATAGTCTGATGTTGAATTCGTACTGCTGACTGACATATGTTTGATAGGAATAAAGTGTTTCCCTTAGATGACCAGTAGTGCTGTGATAATTAATACCATATATTATTATCACCGCGTAGACTTTATTTCATGCAATCGAAGTACGAGTCCGATTACATAGGATGGGTATTAGAAATCCGATTGGATAAACAGTTAACATGAAAACCTACTTCAATCAAACTTCAAGTGACTTTTCTGTAGTGCATACGTTTATCTCCAACCCCACGTTACCTAGTATAGAAAACCGAAGAAAATATCTACTCAGTACAACCATTACGGATTATTCTGATGCGGTCAAATTTGGTGCATTAAAAAATACTGCTAGGGCATCCATGAGAACTACAATTAACAGAAGCTGAATTGGTAGGATTTAATATTGGTATATTTGTTGATGTTACAGTTATTCTTAGTATTTCCCTACGTATGTGCTGGTGTTTTCAGACAGAACAATAAAAACCTCACACCTATGCCATACAGCTGTAAATAGTAATCCATTCAGAACCATTAACCCTCAATAGTTGCTCATTTTGAGTAATAAATCATCGATATATCAGCATCCTGGGGAACAAAACAGTTCTAATCACAAGCAGTCTGATTTCGTTTGATTCTTAATGAAGCACTTTTGGTTGATTGGTGAATAAGGCATTTCCATCCAATTTCTAAATTTAGTGATAAGTAGCCAATTTAAGATTACTCTGTGTCGGACGGGGATCTGTCTTTCATAGTTTAAAAAGTAATTTCACATAATGAAACCACCAATCAAATGCTAGACGAGAGTCGAATAACATGCAACAAACAACAACCAAACAATAGAAAAGTGACTAAGATCTCTCTAGACCAATACACCTTTCACACCCTATGTGTTTCTGATACATTTTGTCAAATACATGATTATTCAATGTGGACTGATGGTTTGTCTAGTCTCTGAGTCATCCGGTATGACGCCAGTGTGCCAGTTGGATCGAATTCAAACATATCAGCCCATTGCAACAGTAGTAGATGGATATTGGGTGATGCTTGATGGTGAAATGAAAATTTGGATCTATTTGATAGTCATTTGTGCTCTTCTCGACTAGATAATGTATT